AAAATTTAACTCAAAAAGGGTACATTGAAAAGGTAATTAGACGCTTTTCATTGCATGATGCCAAACCTGTTAGTTTACCTCTATCTGCAAATATTAAATTGTCTATTGATCAATCACCTAAAAATGAAATTGAATTTAAAAGAATGTTACACGTACCATATGCTAATGCAGTTGGATCTGTAATGTACATCATGGTATGTTCTAGACCTGACATAGCCTATGATATGAGTGTTTTGAGTAGATTTACGAGCAACCCAGGCGAACTTCACTGGGAAGTCGTGAAAAACTTAATGAAATACTTAAAGGGCAATGAAATACTTAAAGGGCACACAAAATTTAGGACTTATGTTTAAAACTAATAAAAATGGTTTAAGTTTGAAAAGCTATGTAGACTCAGATTTTGCTAGAAATTCTGACAATAGAAAGTCAACTACTGCATTTTTCTATGTGATAAATGATACATGTATTAGTTGGAAAGCTCAACTACAGAAACTTGTGGCCCTATCCTCTACTGAAGCAGAGTATATTGCTGCCACAGAAGCAGTAAAAGAATAAATCTGGTTAATGGGTTTGTTAAATGAATTAGATGCTATAAGAAATAAGGTGGAGTTTTGTTCTGATAATCAGAATGCAATTTTCTTGAATAGAAATCCTGTTTTTCATGGTAGAACAAAACATATAGATGTTAAGTTTCATTTTATAAGGGATATTGAAGAAAATGGTGATATAAAATTGGTTAAAATTTCTACCAAGGTCAAGCCTGCAGATTTAGGTACAAAGGTAATACCTATCAGTAAATTTTTTGATTCTTTGAAACTTCGGAATCTTGAAGTTTACTAATTTTTATTTTTTGTTAACAGGTAATAAAGAGCAAATGAAAAACGGTTTATAATCGAATCCACTAAACTAGCTTCAAAATTCCAGCAAGGTGGAGATTGTAAGGATTTTAGCTGCTGAAATCTTTGAGCCCAATTGATATTCTGCATGACCCGGCCCAATGATTTTAACAAACATTTACTGAAGCTTCTAGACTTGACAAAGTCGTATTTTCTGAAAATGCAATTTTAGATCCAAAATGCGTCATCTGCTGGATCTCCTATGCGTGGCATAATTGTGACCGTTGGATTGGTCTATGGAAGACGCCTCATATAACTAGGGTTTGAGATATTTTGTTCAACCCTAACTTTTCATTTTCTTGACTGCCGTTCTTCCTCTCCGAACTCTCCATTTTTTTGTGGGTTTACTTTGTTGTTTTTGTGTGAAATCCTTTTAAGGAATTGTTAAGATTTATCTTTGTGTGAGATCCGTGTATAGAATCTTAGGGCCTCTTTGTGATTAGGAGAAACGGCAGTGTATTCTCATATGTTTGTAACTTGGTTTTGCCCAATATGGGTATCTTGATAGTGGATTCGAGCTTAATCCGTATGGATGCTCAACGGGGATGTAGGCGTTAGTTGGTTGCTGAACCTCGGAGCCTTTGGCCGAAAATTCTTTGTGTTGTTTTTATAATTTTACTGCACTTTTGGGTTTTGTATTTTATTGAATAAAAGATTTGAACAACTGGGACTAACATATATGAGACCGAGAACGAAATTGGTCGAAATACAACCAAGTGAAAGTCTTATCTGCTGATCAGAAAATGATTATTTCCCTTTCCATTTGATACATTTATAATTTGTTCAACATATTTGCATCTAAAATTTTCTAGCCGTAGAAAGGTTTGTCATTTCCTTTTTTCATTTTTTTTTTTTGAATTCGATAAATTTAGTTTTTGAACTTTTTTCGATATGGAATGTTCTGATTATTCTGTTTCTCGATTTTTTAGATTATGACAGAGAATTGGAGTAGCAAGATGGGGAACAATATTTATTTTGATATTGGAGTTTGAAAATGGAATTTGTATTAATAGTTGTTTCATTTTTGAGGTTGCATTGTTAGATTTGCTTTTGTTATTTAATCGAATATGTGAGTTTTAATTTTATTTATTTTTTTGGAATTTAGTAGTTTGCTCTTGAATTTTGGCTAATATTTTGTTGAAATTTTTATTTGTTTGTTTGCTATGAGCATTAAAAAAATTATCAAACGTATCATTTCAATTAAAAATTATGACTTCTTTCTATTTAGTTGCTTTTCTCCTTATCTTTTGATTTATAAGTTTCTTTGCATCCACTTGCTACGAACAAAAAAAAACTTTTATGGGAAGTAAAGCTGCTGATATGAAATTTCATTATACCAACGAAAGTATTCCTCTTTTCTATTTGTTGTACTTCTCTGTCTCCTCGCTCTCGCCTTATTTTAATTTTTACAGGTTCCCTGTTTTATGGACGTTCAGTATTCATGTTGACCTTTTTAAGATATGAATAGATTAGTTTCAAATCATCATAATATTTACCTGTAAAAGAAGGAAATGAGTACTTGTAGTTTTTAATTTATGATTACATTTTTGGTAAAGAGAAAATGACATTTTGGTGATTCTTTGATCGAGTTGAGTCGTACCCATTTATGTTGTAATCTCCAAGAATTTGTTAATTTTACTTGTCACATATGTTGACGTGGTAGGTGTAATAACAATGGTAGCCACTGTTGCAAATTTTACCTTTCGAGCAATAGCTTCTTCAGCTGTCAACCTTGTCAAGCACTATGTTTTGTGCTAATAAGGCCAGTGTCAAAGAACACTTATAGGAAGATAAATAGAGCAATGGCAGAGCTATCGTGTCTCGAGTTCATTTGGCTGGTTGTAGGTGGGCTAGATTTAAGGTGAGGAAATCTAAGCTTGCTATTGCATTTGATATTACATCATTTGTTGATTGCAAAGCTCTCTTTTTTTTTTTTTTATGTATTTTCAAATCTTTGTAGTCTTCAGTCTCTATTATGTTATGAAGAACAGATTTGTAATTGAAAGTCAGGATCATAGTAAATGTAATTCTAAATACCCAATATCTTAAATGAAGTTAGTTATTTCTATTAAGAATGATAATATAGTTATTGATTCTCCTTGGAAATTTCAATCACTAAATATGGAAATTGTTGGAAATACACATGTTTCTACTGGTGATCGAGATGGGAAGTAGTTTTGCAGTTGCCATAGCAGCAGCAGCGGGTGAAGTATCTGGTTTCAATTTGGTGTGGATCCAAACCTGGATCTTGAACTTGCTCCCGCATTTCAAGTTTCAATGGAAAAGGAGACGGCAAGGCAAGAAACAGCTATTAAGAAGGTTGCAAAAGAAGCTGAAAAGTGGAACGACTAAACCTGAAAATGAAACAAAAGACCTAATGATTAAAGTCTCTTTTACACTTCATGCCTTTGATTTTCTAAGTTTTATTTGTTTGCGACAGTGACAAGACTATAATTGGCAGCGAGTGTCATTGTTGAAAATGATTTTCCATATGTCAAAATTTTAAGTGATTTTCACATGTTGATGCAGAGCATTTATATTTGTTTTCATTATTTCCTCTCATATTCTTATTCTTTTATGTGTTTTTTTATTTTAATTTGATTCTTTGTTAGATATCTGCTGAATCGATTATTGGGTTTGGTGAACGAAGTAAATGTACTCAGCTTGTCGAGGTTCTGCCTTTTGTCCTAACTCTGAACTGCTTAATATGTTTAGTACAATTCAAGTTAAGTACATAATTTTCCTCCATTTTTGAAAGAACGTATTGCTTGTTATTATCTTAAAATATTTATATAAACAGTTATAGATAGAATTAACTAAGCCTTATCTTCAATAAACTTGATGTCAAGTACATGAATCATGCCTGTTTAAATAAATCCTTGATTAGTGCTCCTTGGGTAGACCTTCATTTTCTTTTCTATCATTCTATTTTTGTTGTACATGTTCTTAAAATTTTGTAGAATCTTTAACTCCATATATATATATATATATATATATATTGTTACATTAAAGTAAATGTGAATGAAAATTGTATGCTATATGAATAGGGTTCAGCTATGTCGTTAATTGACAATCGTTCTAATTTAAAAATAACAAGATATTTAATTAATATTTTATACCATTTATTATTCTTCAAAGTTGTCTACATTTTCAAAAATTTCAAATACTTTTTCTAAATTCTACACATTCCACACTAACAATAACATAATAAATACAATACTTGTGCAACGCGCGAGACGAAGACTAGAATATATATAACTTGACACAACAGTTTACATCCACATGAGTTGACAGATTTTAGAACATTGGTTTTCACAACATCTTTTTCAATCAATTATTAAACATAGGGGTGTCAATCAAGGTGTACAAGTAGTTTAATCCCTATTTCTATTAGAATTGTCCTACATCACACCCCATACCAGTATACTACACAGGCCAACTTGAAAAATGCTACTCTCAATAGAAGACTCATTTCTTGGAATCCCCTAACTTTAAAAAATGGGCTGCCATAAATGTCAGTCTCAAAGGAGGGTCATCTGTAACACTTTTTATTTATTTTATTATTATTTTTACAGTAAATGTGTAATATATTGATCAAAAAGTGTTACAAATAATATGCTATGTCATCTGTAACACTTTAATTATATGAAAGGCGATTTATAAGGACTTTCCACAACCTACCCTTACAATCTGGTCTTAATCACAAAATAGTGAATGGTTGATAAATCCATTACTAGGATATGTAGTCATGTTCGACAACCCCAGACGATGTCACATAGACCCTAAGCATTTGTTTGTGGTGAGATGTATCCAAAACCATCCTTATACATGAATATCTAAGTTAAAACTGTCCTAACAATTCTTCTGGTTATTTTGAAGATGACTTGAAGAGTTCATATTGTTTTGGCTGTACTAAGAAATTACAGCTGATATAGTGGCTCAAAATACCCTTGTCCTGATGTTCTCAAGGGCTTGCTCCCATACTTTGGTCATGGAATAGATGAAATAAATTAAACTGATAAGGAAATTTGGGAGTTGAAAAGAGGAATTGCCCAAAGTTTCAACAGTAAAACACACGTCACAAGTGAGGGAACAAATACCCAATTAAAGACAATATTGTAGACCATAGACCAATCGACAGAATAGTTAGTTACTTGCAAAGGCAGAATAATATCTATGGAAAGTAAAATAACGCGACAGTTTTTAACTATTGTACAGAAAATTACATCAGACTAAGTATTTGCCTGAATTCAGATTTGAGTCTCACTCCCTAGGCTAGAGGAATTGAAGGTTACCAGATAAAGCAGGGAATTAGTACTATCGTTCAAAGCTTGACCTCAACATCGACGCCAGCAGGAAGATCGAGCTGCATCAGTGAGTCTATTGTTTGGGCAGTTGGATAAAGAATGTCAATAAGGCGCTGATGAGTTCTAATTTCGAAATGGAACCTGGCATCTTTGTGCACATGCGGAGATTTGAGAACACAATATATTCTCTTCTTGGTTGGTAATGGTACCGGACCCATGGTCTTTGCATTGGTTGTCTTTGCAGCATCCATAATCTGTTTGCAAGAGTCTTCTATCAGGGGTACCCAGTAAGACCGCAGTTTTATTCTAATCTTCTGCTTAGGCGCCATCTGAGAACCAAAATGTCCTTTGGCAGATTATTCAAGTTGAAGCATATAAGAATAGAAAGGAAAAGGATTTGACTTTAACTAAGAAAGAAAATTTCTCAAATTGAACAACAGGTTCGGTATTGTTTGTTACCAAAAGAAGGGATCAGCGTTTGTCAGCAAGAGCAAGATATCCAAGGTTAAAGAAGTGAATATAAAACTCTGCTAAATGTTTCTTCAGGCTACTCAATTAACATTGTGGTCATATATATATACTTAGTAAACAGGTCGACTTATTGAGTTAGCAATTAGTAAAGACTAACAGGCCATTTGACGAGCATTTTAAAAAGTCAAAAGCCACTTCCGAGACTAAAAAGCTGTTTTTGAACCTGTTTGGATAATTTTTTAAAAGTGCTTTGCTTTGTCTGACTAGAAGATCTTTTAGAAGAAACTGGCCTAATGTAGCTCCAAACGACCCTAATTAAAGTTCACATAGTCACTTCTTTGTTTTCCTTGGGATGCCAATGCCACTAAATTTATTGAAAAAGTGACAGTAAATCCGTAAGAGACTTTTAAATATCAGAAAGATATGAAAGGTTCTTCCAGGATGAAATATAAAAACTCATCTGGAAACCAATTCCTATACCAGACAATTCTTTTGCCCTAAATACTGATCCATTCAGTACCCAATACAAACTTATTAAGGCAAAAACATCTACATCCATGAAGAGTACTCAATTGAAGCTCTTTCATTGCACAACTCCATTATATTTCTACTGGTCTACCTTATATTAATTATGATAAAGTAGATAATTGCAGGAGAAATACTATTAATATGCTATGTCACACAAGAACCAATTTATCCTACTACTGTAATTTAAGCAAAATCAATATTATTATAGAAAAACAGAAGCTACTAAGAAAAGAGAAGTTACTTTATCAGAATCTGCACCAACACTCAGCGTTGAAGCGGCAGGAGCCTCATCCTAAGAACCCACGAAACCCAAAAAAGAAAATTCTTTCAATAATATGAAAAAAGGGTATTTATTATATCAAAATATAAAGTCGACAAATAAAACAAACCTCAGAAGCAGCATTGGACTCAATAACTTCAGGAACAGCGAAAATTCTGGAAGAGGAACCTCGAGAGATTTTCAGGGCATGTAACTTTAAGGAATTTGAGGAAGGCGAAGAAAGCACAAACAATTGGGGTCTGCCATTACAAATGGAGGAATTGGGTAAATGCAAAAATGGTGCCGACGGTGAGGATAATGAAACTGAAGCCATTCTCACTCTAAAGTCTTGAGTTCTGGTCTGGGATGAGAGAGTGAGAAAGCTCTCGAAATTTTCTCAGATTTATCCAGAAGTCATCGAGGGTGTAAATGATAATAATGCCTTTCTTTTGGACCTTTTTTTGCTTTACAAACATACAATTAAATTGCATGTCAAGTCCTCCATTTTTAAATTTAATGGTACTTTGGTTTCCCAAAATTTAAGTATACAAAAAAGAATGTATATACGAGATTAAAATTCGAAAATAAAATCTTCCCCACCCGTTTTACATTTTCAAAATAGCATTTCGGTAGACAATCCCCCCTTTTTTCCTTGTAAAATAGTGTTTATGTGATAATGCAATGAATAAAGAATAATGTTATTTGTAAGTCAAATAATAAATTACGCATAATGAGGTATGAAAAAGACAATAAAATAAATTTTATTTTTTAAAAAAATTTTAGTTGAAAAACTCTAATCCAATCATATCTTACCATATCATTATATAAATCATCATGCACTTGTAGCACAATCGATGAATAAATGGTTATTATTGTAAACACAGCTTATAAACAATAATCTATATCACAACAACGATGTTAGCGTCACATTCTCCTTAAAATAAATCATATGTGAGTCGTACTTACAATCCTACAAATGCAAGGTAGAAAACAGGGATGTCACGTGTCGACAAGCAATTGGACATTTTGAAAAAAATTAAAAACACGTCTAATAAAAAAAAATCCAAATCAATCTGTTGCTTCTTATCTTTAACCCTGTCCAAAGAGTTTAATTGTAAATAATATTATTCTTTTACTTTTGTGTCACATGACCCACATTCATCACCACCTTCTTCTTGTCTCCTTCGCTCACGGTCTAGCTATTCATAATAATAATAATTGAAGATGGCAAAGATTGCACCTAAAATAAATTATCAAGAAGTTAAGAACAAAAATAGAGAGCAAAGGTTAGATAGAGAGCGTGTTAGACTCCACACGGACAATTACTCATTGTTGGAGAGACAGCTAGTGCAAAAAGAGGTACCGTGCGACGACAGTTTACTTCGTTAGTTTATCTTATGTGTATTCTCGATTAATTCAAAACAAAGACAATTTGAAGAAAGCTTTTTAACTTTGAAAATCTGATGCATTGCAAATTGCTCGTTTATTATTGATTAACAAAAGCAGTAAATTATAATTGCTGGTACATGAGGCAAACATCAGAAAGTTTGACAAGAGTTCAAATACCATCTACCTTCTATTATAGTTTTAAGTAAGAAAAATCTAATTGACAGGAATAAACATTTAAAAGCTGAGAAATTATAATACGAATTTACAAATAGCATAATTCTTTTACAACTGAAATAAACTTTTACAGTTAAATGCGCTATTTCTAGTGCCCGCACCATGAGGTTTGTGTTAGCGATCCACCAACTCTTCGATGTATTGGCAATCCTCCATGTGTGAACCTTGGTTCGACGAATCCTACAAAATTCCAATTCAGGCACTCGCAACATTGGAGGGGCTGTCTACATCGTGATGCTCCACTTAGGGTCGATTTCAGTCTGATTCAACTTCCTACACTGCACATCATGCGGCCAAAGGGATTGACAGCTACGATCCTTGTGGTGCTCTCTCACCTTGTATTGGACAAGCGAAGGAAAGAAAAAATCACTCTCTAAATTCTAATCAAATCTATGCTTATTTGTCTTTTTGACACTCGATTCTCTAAATTTCGCATACTGACAGTTGACTTGATTGTCAAAGTACTAAAGGTCGTGACTCCTTTATTTGATCTGGTTATCTTGGTTCCTAAATGTTTATGTTTAAACTTGCAGGGAACATATAAGTAGGTATGGATATGACAAAGATTTGTTGACAGCAATGGTGCACATTTTTTGAGGTCAATCGCTTTCATAATTTTCCATTCTTTCTTCACATTTTTTGTGTGAGGTTGTATGTTAACTCGATGATATATCTCGATAATACATGCTCAATAGTTATATATAATTCTCCATTTCTTGCTCGACTAGTTCAAATGAGTCAAATTTGACATGACTCTACATTTCTCTAGCTAAAAATAAATAAAAATCTTAATCAAATTTGCAGGTTAAAAATGTGATTAATGTTAGTTAATAAGGCCAGCTAAAGAGTCTAGAAATAAGTATAACCGTTAAATACCTCTTGGAATTTCGTAACTACTCCTCAACAGTGAACCTTTTCTCTTCAAAAAACTCCCTCCATTAATTAATTAAATCCTCCTCTTTATTGGCATAGATTTCGTGACTTAACTTTTCCTCTTTCAAAATACTAATCTCTTTGCGTCTCATTCTCACTCCATCTTTGTATCCCATTACTTCTTTTCTAACCTAATATTTTCGAAACGTTCAACTGCAATATAAACTGCAAGAAACATAAGAGCTTAGTCATAACACTTACGCTCCTATATTTATTGCTTTCACCTATTTCTTACTCAACCACCTCCTCCAACTCCAAGAATTCTTCTGTCTTGAACCTTTTAGCAAAACAAAAACATAAAAACTCCTTTTCGCAATGAATTTATTAAATTTCAGTGCTTGGTTTCTGGGTTTTTTGGTTTTATGTGATGGGCTTCGAGCGATTTTAGCGGAGTTAAACAACAATGCAAAGAATTGTATTACATGGGATGACATGGAAGTGGATGATTACATATTGCATATAAGAGATGAAGGGAATGGGAGTAAGGTTATTGTGGTTGACAAAAATGGCCGGGGAAATTCTTTAACAGTTCAAGGTGCAGTTGATATGGTGCCGGAAAATAATGCAGATAGAGTGAAAATTTACATTCTTCCTGGAGTTTACAGGTCCGTGTTTATAAGTCATTTTTTGAAAATTTCTCTTTTTTTTATTTTTTTTTGTACACCAAGAAAATATTTTTCATGCATGCAGTTGTGCAATATTTATTTTCGTAGGGGTTCTAGGATTAGGGACGTGGGTATTGAGGAAGTTACGTATATGTTGTGGGCTTTTCCTGTCACTTTTTAAGGTTTAAATAACTGACAATCTTTTACATATTTTGGACAAAATACTATGAAATTTGAACAATATAACCCAGAAAAGGGAAATCCTAAGTAATTTTGTTCTTAATTTTCAATTCGTCATGCAGTGAAAAGGTGTACATTCCAGCCTCTAAGCCGTATATTTCCTTCATTGGAGATCAGAATCGAGTATCTGAAACTGTTATAACCTGGCACGACAAGGCTTCTGATCGCGATAAATATGGATCTGTACTAGGGACTTTTAATTCAGCCACTGCCGCAATAGAATCTGATTACTTTGTTGCAACAGGGCTCACTTTTGAGGTATTATTTGCAGGAAATTAGGTTTCTTCAACATCATTATAATATTCAAATTTCAAAATCTGAATGTTTGTTTATGGCAGAATACAGTGATTGCAGTGCCTGGAGGAGTTGGATACCAAGCTGTTGCCTTGAGAATTGCCGGCGACAAAGCTATGTTTTACAATGTTAAATTTCTGGGATCACAGGATACACTTTTGGATCAAACTGGATCACACTACTTTTACCAGTGCTTCATCCAAGGATCAACAGATTTCATTTTTGGCAATGCAAAATCTCTCTATCAGGTTTATATATTGAATCATTTTCATTATTGCTTACTTTTCAAATTAATTCCTTCTTCTGAGTCGACTTTGATAACAATGAATTGAACAGGAGTGTACTCTTCATGTTCTAGAGGATGGATATGCAGTAGCAGCTCAACACAGGAACTCTCCTAATGATGATACAGGCTTTTCTTTCTTGAATTGTACAGTTGAGGGAAAAGGAAGAACTTTCTTGGGTAGAGCTTGGGGGGATTATTCGCGAGTTATATATTCGTACTGTGAATTTGATGCCATTGTAAGACCAGAAGGATGGAATGACTGGAGGAAACAATATAGAGACAAGTATTAGAAATCTCTCATCTAATCTTTTTTACATAGAGAAAAAATTACAGATTCCTAATATGTAAATGTATCTTGTGCTTGCAGTACCGTGTTATTTGGAGAATACGAGTGCAGAGGCCATGGAGCAGATAGAAGACAAAGAGTGCCGTGGTCTAAAGCTCTGAATTACATGGAAGCAAAGCCATTTTTGGGCACGCAATTCATAGGCGGAGAGCAATGGCTGAGACTATAGTTGTGCAATTTATTTTTTTTACCAGTCTATAAGGCTCATCCTGTATTTTTCAGTAGTTTTCATTATCAGATTAGTTTTGAATCAACTTTGGATCATTCAGTGCTAGGACTGTACTCGAAATGAAAATAACTTTATAAGACTTTGTAGCAACTTTGGATTATCAAGATTTCACGTTCCACTGCCCAAAAACCAGAAGGTTATAAGACTCGAAATGAAAATAACTTTGGCAGAAAGAACTGAGATATAATTTGATCACTAATGGAAACGTAAAGGTTACTGATACTTGTTCAGACAGAGAAAGCATAAGGTCACACCTTCAAATCCCCAAGTAGCAAAATACATTGGAACCATCCAAATCCTGTACCTATCTTTATTTACAGCTAGCCTCGAACAATTATAAAATCTATCTCAGTTCCAACTGTGTAAGGAACAAGGTGCTTCAATTTTGTTAATATTTGGTCACAACTTCTATGGTTCTGCTTCATAACTATGCTCGGAAGTCTCAAGTACCATGCCTCGCCAACTTTATTATCATTGTGTCATCGTCGTTATAAGAACTTTCTATAACATTATGATTGTTAATTCTTGTTTTTAGCTTAGCCAAACAAGGGCTTAAGTATCCCAAATTACAATGTACTTAAGTAAAAAAACATAAGCGGTAGTACAAATTCTTGTCGTAAAAATGCAGCATTAACTAAGTATCCCAAATCATTACAACGGCAATCACCCCGACACCCAACAACACAGCCAGAAACTTATGGTGTCGCTTAACGACTGAAACTGGTTTTTGAGGCTTATAACCATTGGACAGTAAATGGTTAATGGATACGTAGATGAAAACCCCACAAGCTAGACCCATTGATACAGCGTAAATCCAGTCTGCTACAGCACCCTGTGTAGTTTCATCTATTATAATTCCAATGGCAACACCGATTGGACTTGATATGGCGAATGCAAAAGCATAAGCTACACAAGATAAGAGGGGGCGATCTGGAATCATCCTAAGAAGAGCTATTCCCATAGCAATTGCAGCGAATATCTTGTGGAGACAGACGGTCCAGAGGGCTCGCCAGGCATCTGCTCTTGTCTTGGCTACTCCAATCGCAATGCCCTCAAACACGGAATGAAAGCACAGTGCAACAATTAACAAGATGCTGTCCCCGAGTGAAGTAGCATTCGTGAGGGAATGTTTAGCAAGATTTTCTTCGGCGTCAGTCTCAATCTAATAGAGAAAGCAGGAAAAAAATGTAATCAAAATTCACTATGAACACCAAGGCTTTATTGAGGAATATGTGTGATCTCTCGGCTATCTCACCTGCAAATGCGACTGTGAAGGTACTCCGTTAATGGAGCCTTTTTCATCGTTAGAACCTGCAGTGACGAAGAAAAATAGATAGAACATATGTACTCAAGAGATGCATTGCTCTCACTCAAGCTTGATACGTAATTATGATTTTCTTGAAAGGAAAACATGAGAAATATTAACTAGCCAACAATCTTGACGTAAAGCATAAATTTCACGATGTGGAACACTTTCTGTTACCTCAAAAGCGAATCAAATTTTTCTCTCATCGCATAGGTATGCGGTATGTTTGTTGAGGAAATGAAATATTAACCTACCAAATAGTATTAAAGAAGAAAAATAGACAGAACATCTGTACTCTAAGAGATGCATTGCTCTTACTCAAGCTTGATACGTAATTATGATTTTGTTGAAAGGCAAACATGAAAAATATTAATTATCCAAACATGTTCAAAACAACTTCTTAGTCACAAAATCAGCTTTTAACTTTTCAAAAGCCCTACTAGACGGTCTTAATAGTATTGAGACTATACAATTCCTTACAACTTGCACTTCAGTAAATTACAAAATCCTAAATTTAAGAAATTTCTTTGATTTCTTCCATGAATCCGACGCATATATATCTACAGAAACAACGTAAGCAGCAGAAAAAATCACATACCTTGGATTTCAGTGTGATTATTAGCAGAAATATTCTTCTGTTTCCCACAAACATAAGAAATAACACAATCAGCCAACATAGTTAACAAATATCCAGCACTCGCCAACATAAATGCAAATGGGTATTCTTTTTCCGTCAAGTCCCCAAATGTCTCATTAGAATCACTCAGGAAATGCATCAAAGCAGTCCCCAAGAAAACCCCACCGGCGAATTGGGTCCCAGTAACCAAAAAACCATCGTTCCACTTCATGAAGTAAGGTGAAATCCCCCCGACAAAAGTCCCAACAAACACCAGTATCAGGCACCATATTTTCACCAGAATAAGAGACCGAGATCTCAGGTTCGGTTTATCCAACGAGCCGGAGCCGGAGCCGGAGCCCGAGTCCGAGTCAGAATCTCCGCCGTGCGCGGAGGCGGAGACAACAAGGAGTAGCAGAGTGAAGAAGAGAATCAGAATATAGCGAGCCATTTATTTAGGGGCTTGAACATACACTACTCTGTCTCTCTTATGAATTATGGGGAGACTACTCTGCGCACAGTCAGTGCGGGTAAAACAATAGAGGAAGTGTGTGTTCTGTGGGCAGCGGGTTAGTGAGAGAAACTAAGCAGATGGAAATTTCTCCATGTGAAAGAACGTACGATTTTGGAAGTGACATTTTATTAACCAATGATAACGTTAACGTTTATGGTTTGTTAATTCTGTGTGGTCCAAATTCTATATTAGGTTATATTACCACCTTAATTTTTATTTAATACACCATATTTTAATTGTAGTTAATTTTTGTTCACTATAACAACTATTTCCTTAACTTTTTTCATCGAATTCTTATCAAACTTTCATTAATTAGTACATCTCGTATTTGATGATGATTTATATCAAAATATTTTTATCATACTTTGAAAATGAGGGAAAAGTATTTTTTGGAACTTTTTATATATTTATTTTTTCATCATATTTTATTATTTCATCATATTCAAAATATGATGAAAAAATAAGTTGTTTCGTCATTTCAATGGACTTTTGAACATAAAACTGTAATCAAATACAAAATATGTTAACCAATGAAAAATTTGAGGATAAAAATGACATGAAAACCCATTAGAGATATAAGTGCAATAATAAACAAAGATTAAGAATTTCAAATGCAATTAAAACATGGTGCAAAAAATAAAAGTTATAATCTGAATATAATTACTCTTACTATGGCCCCGTTTCGTACACATTAATGTAAAAATGAAAATGAAAAATATAACCGTTACGAACTCCACACAAAAGATAGAAAATCAAATATGGTGACTTGATGTGATAAATAACGATCATATTTTTCATTTAAATGGACAAATAATGAAAAACAAACGAGGGCTATATATCATTTGTTTTAACAAATAAGACTTTTATAGCCCCTATTTGTACCAGTTTTTTTAAATTTTTCATTTTTCATCAAACTAACTTTTNATTTGTTTTAACAAATAAGACTTTTATAGCCCCTATTTGTACCAGTTTTTTTAAATTTTTCATTTTTCATCAAACTAACTTTTAAGCACATACTTTCGTGAAGTACACAACTTTTCAATTACATATTTGATCAAATTTTATCAAAATCTCCTTGAAGAATTGTTTTCTTTAACTAAACCAAACAAAGTCATTGTTATATAATTTGGCCCATCAACCAAACGGTCAGAATCTACAATTCTCGACGATAAAATGTTTTTATAGATTTTGATAAAAACTTAGCTAATTTACGGGTGAAAGTCGATAAAAGCTTTGCCTACATAGTCAAGAAAGTGCCAATCTAGATAACATTCTTTTCCGATTCGTTCAAATTAGAATCTTTACAATGAGTCGAGCAAAACGAATGAAGAACTTATCTCATGGAATAATCTTAAATGAATAAAGAAGAGGTATATTTATGTGGTCTCACTATACAAAATGTGTGACTCCGACTGGTGAAAGCCATCCCACTCACGAAGATTCTCTCTTCTTCCCCTACAAACCTTATGAAGTGTCCATTTCGTTACACAAATGCCTGGGTCCCTCCTATTAGACATGCTTCAAGCAGTATCAGAAGTTTCTATTGCCTGTAACAGTTTTATCTTAATTAAAAATATTATAAATAAATCAGAACTACAGATTATGTCGTCCAAAACAAAACTTCAAATCATCACCACAACATCTTCAAAGATGTGATATTAATTGAATTCAATCAAGGCAAAAGAACAAAAAAATGGCAGTTATTTTATGAAATTCATAATCCACCCTCTCTTCATTTAAACGAACCAATTTTCCAAAATTTCTGTTCATCTGATTCCATGCAATTCTTATTGTCGCCACAAAAGACCACGCTGCTTTTGATCTTGCATTCGCCTGCACCATTGATGAGAGTAAATTGGCACAGTATTTTATTTCAGAATATATTTGGAATATCATCACGCTAAATCAATACGTAACACAACAATGAAATAATTCACATTTTCAATCCTTCCATTCAAACTGTATTAACATGGGAAAGATCTTACGCTATTGGAAATCCTAAAACTGCCGACCTTTTACTTCCCGAGCTACACGTGAGAAGTCACAAAGTTTAAAGAGACACCACTAGGATTCTAATTACGGGATATAGGAATATCTAAAGTGCTCAAACTTTGAGACACTCTTCAAATTGCTTTGGAGCATCCTACATGACTTTTCAGAATCCAGCTGCAAACTAAATAATTAATTCTTAAGTCACTAATTGAAAATACCTTATGAGGCCAATGCCTTGGCTAAGTGGTAAGAGCGAAGCCTTACCATTTCGCTCTTAGCAGGTTATTGACTTGGGTTCAAACCTCTTTGGAAGCAAGGGGGAAATTCCAAAAGATAAAAATATACCACCTTACTGATAGTATTCAATTTTGGAAAATAAACATTGGTTCTGGGAGGGGAGACAAGTCGGACTCAAATTTAAAGAGCAGTAATGTGAGAAACTCAAATATGTTCCTAATTGGAACAGGGCATCATGAGTTTAACAATTAGAATGATGGTTTGAAATGAACACCAATATGAAAATGCAATACTCCCAAGAAAAAGTGGGTCATCAGAAGCAAAGAGGAGATATATTTTTCTTCATCACAGGAAATTTTCGCATCACAATCGATATTTAATCGTCCAACATCACCCTTCTTCAAACAAGCTTATTTTAATCGAGATGGCCAACAAAGTATCTGATTAGCACTCGTAAATACACTACCCAACAGACATGAAAAGTATGGCAACGCCAAAAACAAATTTCAAGACAGACCATCCCCAAAAAAATGGATTCTGGAACAAATCCAGAAGCATTGTAATTAGCTCTTGTTGTCCAAAGTTGAGCAGCTCCTAGAGATGGAAATACTGAATCCAGATGGCAGGCAACAGAGAAATAGTTTATTAATGTGATGATAAATTAAAGACACTGACCTTCGATGCTCTTTGGATCGTTCTATGAACTCTTTTGAAATATCGAGTCCTTGATAAGAAGCTAAAACAGTTCGAACATCAGCTGGTCTGTGTTTAGCAATATCTGCACTCAAACAATGAATACCAAAAATTTTAGTAGGAATGACTAATTAGAAACTAGATTTCACTTGTTTAAATTAATCTTGTACAACTGTACAAGTAGAATACTTACATTCAAGGAAGGGAATAAGATCTAAAAGTGCAGTGTCTTCTACTTCGCCTTGCCACGGTTTTATTGAAACGCAGTTTTCTGATTGAAGGGTACCTTCTAGAGCATGAGCACTAATATAAAGAACCTTTTTGGGATCTCTATTCAGCATCGAGAGGTCCTGCATTAGGAATAATGCATTGAATACGAAATATGATCATCTCATACAACTACAGCTGCCAGGATGCAACATATAGCAGCATGACTGAAGACGTAAAAAAGGCCTGTTTAACCTGTGAACCGGCAGGAAAAGTCCTGATAGTACTGCTCATAGGCTAGTCCAAAAATAGACCAGCATCCATCCATGGGTCTGATCAGATTGGCAAAGCCTGGCAGACTGGATGGATCACAGCCTACCCTGGCCCATGTTGATGATCAGTGAAAGCTTCTTGGAAGGAGCAATTTCTCAACATATAAAAACATTGCAGACATTATCCTTCACTTCCAAATCAATAAGTATTCTTCCTCACAATTTGCAAGCGATGTCCACAATTTTATACTTCTATAATCACTTGCAGGCTTTGTTTAGAATTATATATTGGTATATTTCCACAGTTTTGATCTCCAAGAATCAAGAAAACTTCTTAATCTACAAAAAGAAGAAGTATCTTGCGTACCTCACAGACTATATTGGTTGTCTTGTAATATTTCTCATTATATTTAGATGTAATCTATGCAATAAATTTTATATTTACGAGTAAAAAATGTTCATCTTTTTCCTGGTTCGACCCGTCCTACATCTCAGTAAGTTTTAAACGGCATTCACATTACTTAAATAATAAAGAACAACATTTACAGAAAGTATTTCCTTCTGCCAAATTTACTTGCATCCACAAGCAAATGTACAAAGAAGCACAAGCATCTAATATTAGGCAATTCTTTGAAAATGAGCAGAATAAACGAGTAATTACTTGCTAACTCTATAAACAAATGTATACATTTAGACCCATAAGTGGTACAAATCATATAAAGTTTCTAGACAGATTTTTTTATTTTTTTTAATACCAAATTAGTGCAAACGATATAGAAATTTGATAGTAGTTCAAACAGAAAACAACGGTAGGATCATTACAATACATTATTGGTGAAATACTAATTATATTGTTTAAAAGTAGATGTTAAAATTTAATCAAAGATATAGTTTTCTGGAAAGCAACTAGTAGTGATGCCAGACAAATTTTAGAAGCTGAAGAAGTTATGCTTCCTGTTTCTTCCTGATTCCTTTATTTGGGATGAAATGGATCATTTACATTGTATTTGTATTTATTTGCTTAGTAAGCCATGAATTTATCCCTCTGATTTGGCGAATAAGTTACAATTTTCAGAATTTTCTTTCAAAACATGATGTGTGTTATAAAATATATGCACGACATAGTAAATAAGACTTTCTGAGAAGCAACAGGGTCGACCTACCCTAAAGTGTTTGCCATGAACATATCTTGTTGCTACACGTGAAAGTCTATACCGGATAAAGTTCTTTGGATCCAATCTGTTAACCACCTGATCAACTTCCTGCAAGTTCAATGTCAGACAGTTTAGCAAATACAATAAGTTAAGAAACTAACAAATTTCTATAAGGGAAAATCATACCATAATCTGTTGGTCAGAAAAAACTATGATTTCATAAAACTGAGCTAAATGCTCCAGAAAGGCATCTACACCTGGTCTTTTAAATGTTCTCCATCCTCGCTCTCGCTTCAAAAGGAGGAATATGAAGAATAAGAAAAATTCACGAGTTCCAATCAATTCAAATTTGTACAATGCAACAAACCAAAAACAGAGCATATTGTATTTTAGAAAGAAGAGAGGTTATGAATGGAGAATAACTATTTGCTAAAATACTGATGCATGAAAGCATATACGCCAAAATATGAAATTGGAAAAAAAATTCACCGTCTTGACAACTTAAACTAAACAAGTTAGATGAATCATGGAAGTCATACCTTCCAATCAGAATATATCAATGTCTCATTTAAATCTAGAACAATGGTGAAAACATTCTGCTCCAAGGGGTGCATATCAGGCAGAAGCTTGTCTGAATTTGGTTCTGTAAAACCCTATGATGAAGCAAAAAGATACTGAATAAATTTTGACAAGGATATTTAACAAATAAAAGAAAAAGGATTCATTGAAATTGTGAAAGTGAAAGTAATGGGTAAAAGAAGTAAAGAAGCACTTACTCGAACATGTTCTTCAGTTAACCTTCTCAAGTCAATGTAAAGGTCAACCAACTTAGCAGGAACTGCGTTAATGTAAGAAACAGATAAAGTTTATTATTTAAAAGATGACAAATAATCTTACAGCGATTAACTGTCAAATAATCATAACTCATATAAAAGTGGCAATGGAGAAGTTTTAAAACCTTCACCCAGCTAATTGGTACACAGAAGAAAAAATGACAACGTAAGGAAAAAAGAATCCCACCTGCCATTGCAGCAGAGCTTAAATAAGCTTGAAATTTCTGCATAATTTGCAAGAGAAAGTTGTTAATCCTTGTTGCTTTCAAACAAGACTACAGCTAAGAGAATGTATGCTTCTGGACTTAACAGAACTTCCAAAATAATTAGAACCAAGAGAGACAGTTAAAGCGAACACTCACAAAAATGCAGTTTACGATAAAACAAATATAGCAGAGTGATGCACCTATTGACTATGTCAGCAAATTTATCATGACAGCACAATTTTTTTATGGAAGGAATGATATGAAAGAGTTCTCACATCCCCGTTAATCCTTGTTGCTTTCAAACAAGACTACAGCTAAGAGAATGTATGCTTCTGGACTTAACAGAACTTCCAAAATAATTAGAATCAAGAGAGACAGTTAAAGCGAACACTCACAAAAATGCAGTTTACGATAAAACAAATATAGCAGAGTGATGCACCTATTGACTATGTCAGCAAATTTATCATGACAGCACAATTTTTTTATGGAAGGTCCTCCTCCATGATGCTCTCATGTTGACTACTACACACACACAAAACAAGTACCGGAGTGTTGTCTGACTCACATCAAAAGAAGACGAGGCATTTCCAATGGGGTGATTTGCAGATGCTCGGAAGGCCTTTGTCTTATGATCAATTTCATCCAACGAGTATGCTGCAAATAAGGGAATGTCACATTTTTCAACTTTTTACTGGAAAGTTGAGTTAACAATAGCAGGCAAATAACTTAAAAATCATTTTAGACAATTTCAGAACACGGCACACTTACTTATGATAGCACACGAATATAAAAAGAAAAAGGAAAATATGGTAGCACACAAATATAAAAAGAAAATGAAATACACAGCGACATGCGTGCACACACAGAATAATGATTTTTTAAGCACCGGTGCCTAGCTTATATTAAACACCAGTGACATGACAGAACAATTAATTAGTGAATCATTAAATTCATGAGACGTATCATTAACTTATTCACCAATTAATGATGTACTATGTCACCAGTGCTTAGAAGATCATTTCTATATACCACCACATGCAGTTGGATTGAAGCGAAAAATAGGTACTCAAATGGAAGACGAAAGGATAATGCCACATGCACAAACTTGAATTAAGAATTTTTGCCGTATTTTATAAGCTGAAGGAACACCCACAATCGAAAATTTGCATCTCATATAGAATAGAGCACTAATTGTCAATGAGAGGGCTCACGAAACAAGTAGTCTTTCCACTCAAAAAGAAATGTCCTCTTTAAAACACCATTCTACAAAATGTAATACTGCAACAATCATTCGTATGCATAGACGTCAGATGAGACACACTTCTGATTAATGATGCTAATTACAGTTGTTAAGCCTCTTCAACCAGGCCCACACTCCCCATCATTGGTTGAGGTGGGAACATGCCGAGGTGATTAATCACTTCATCTAATGTGCCTTGGGGGCCAACCTTTTGAGGTCAAAGTTAAGGTGCCACGTCTGCTATGAAGATGTCCAAAGCGACTAGCCTCTTAACTGATAGAGAGCATCTTTCAATGCCGCTTCTTTCAAGGAAATCTTTTGGACATATCTTATAATTGATTGATGTGAAGTCTTCACAACATACGTCTAAAGGTCAAGTCCTAAGTCTACTTTTCAGAAAACATAAATTACCGCAATTAAATGCTCGTCATCCTATGATTTAAACCTAGGAAGAGATGCCTCGATCACTAGATAAAGCCACCTCCCTCACCACCGGAGAAGGCCTCGGAAAGCAAGTAGGTCCAGTTCCGTTGGCCACAACGGAGGTAGAAAAATCCAATAGTAGCATTTTTCCACTGTTTCAATACACTCGTTCTAGTTGTCCCCAGGTGGTCAACAACTGTATATCAATTAATATACATCTATACAGAA